GCCCAGGTGGCTGCCGGGTTCTTTCTAAATGCCATCACTGAAAGCCCTACATTCTGCGACTCATTGTGGGACAGATGAAATGATCCAAATTACGAAAAACTATGGGGGGGGCGGGTAACTGCTCTGAGGTCGCATAACTGGTTTACCAATTTTGGCTACCAAATTGGTTAGCCAGTTTTGGGGACTGATTTGTCCAACCATAACCCTGGAAAGACCATTAAGTTAGACGGAGCATCCCCACCACCTATTGGGGCATGTGAAGACTTACAAATGGATTTCATTCAATTATTCCCTGCAATGGGTTATCAGTATGTTCTTGCAGCTGTATGTTCTTGGGATGGATTGAAAACTTCCCATGCAGGATGGCTGACACCATAATCATGACTAAGAAACTTTTAGAAAATATATTTCCTTATGGGGTATCCCAGGAGAGATTGCCAGTGACAGGGGACCCCATTTCTCCCAAAGCTACCTAAATTAACAAAGTCAACTAGATTGCCACAGCTAAAAGTTCTACCATTGGCTTTGATGGCAATTAGATCAATACCTTTGGGAAGGCATAAAGTAATGCTTTATAAAGGAAATAGTAACAGAAAGACCCGTGTCTTTGGCTGATAGAAACTCATGTGTTGGGGCGCCTTGGTGGCTCAGTGGGTTAAAGCCTCTGCCTTCAGCTCGGGTCATGATCCCAGGGTCCTGGGATTAAGCCCCACATCGGCCTCTCTGCTCAGCAGGGAGCCTGCTTCCTCCTCTCTCTCTCTGCCTGCCCCTCTGCCTACTTGTAATCTCTGTCTGTCAAATAAATAAATAAAATCTTAAAAAAAAAAAGGTGCTAAAAAAAAGGAAACTCATGTGTCTCCCGTACTCACAAATTCTGATATGACTCAGTATTGTAAAGTTTTAATTCATTATGCCGAAGTGTATTTCCACCAGGTAAAGCAAGCTTTCTGTGATCCTTCTACAGATGGTCAAACCTTCCATGAGTTAGAATCTGGAGAGTGGGTCTTCTGGAAACAACACTTAAGAAAGATTGCCCTTGAACCTCATTGGAAGGGGCCACACCAGGTTCTCCTCACTACCCAGGTGGCAGACAAATTTGAGGTACTTGAACCTTGGGTCCCCATATCCCAATTGAAAAGGGCTCCTCCAGACTCTTGGGACTGCATTCTAGCCAGAGATCTAAAATTAAAACAGACTGGGGAGATTCCTCCCCAGAAGCCATCAACATCTTGAGGCAGACAGCTCTCCCAAGATACCGGATCAAGATCTTCATCTCCAATATGAAATCTTTATCCCTTTTATCTATTTGATATTTGCTTTTCTCTCTATTAAAACACGGGAAGGCAGCACTATAATTAGAATTTCACAAATAATACTACTACAGGAAACTTGGCTAACTGCTCGGTTGGTCATGCCATGCCAACATCAGGATTTTACGAGAGAGACCCCCTTAGTTCACTCTACAAGTAATTTCACTGACATCCCACATGCCACTGTACGCTTAAATTTCCCACAGGCCCCTTTTATAAAGTTAAAATGCTAAATCCACAGACCCTCATTCTTTGCCTCAATTTTACCTAACCCTGGAATGGGAAAATGAGATCTGTTGGCAGGGGTCGGGGAAATATATATGAAAGACATTACAGAGCAGTCCGTGTTTATCAGAACATTTTTAGGCTTACGTTTGGGCCTCTATGTTCAGGTGGTCTTTCACTATGTGATAATACAGTATTTGAGTCTTGGTTGAATGATGCTAACACCAATGGGCCCACCATACATGCTAATACTTATGAAGGAGCCCTAGGCATATCTCCTAGCTACTACTCACATGTGGAGGTTTTGGCAATGGCCTCTAAGCTTGGCCCACTCGTTGTCTTGACAGCTGGAGGGTGCAAGGGCTGTGTGAATGTGTGGTTGCTGTATTTACCGTTTCACTGACCCTTCATCATACCTCAGAAACTCAACATTGGTCTGCTCCTTTGAATTTATACTATGACTAAGAAGAAGTTTACCAGCAGATGTATCCCTCTGGATAGGTGTCATTGGGACGGTCCCTTCTTCCTTCGCCTGAGAGAGTACAAACAAATATGTGGTTAAAAACTTGTCCTTGACCTTGGCAACCATCGCTGAGTCTACCGCTCAGGCCATGGTTGGACAACAGATGTCCCTAAAGTCTCTTGTTAACGTGGTTTTCGGCAACAGAATTGCTTTCGGTTACTTGCTGGCTGAAAAAGGAGTTGTCTGTACCTCAATAAAGAACCTTCTACTGCCCCTGGATCAACTTCCAGTTGTGTAGACACTCAAATATGAGAGATTAGCAAACAGGCTACCTGGCTAGAACAGTTTGGTGCCTCATCGGTTACATGCTTTGACTTAGATGGTTCTGGTTGGATTGGCTCATGGGGACCCTGGCTAAGAGTTGATGTCAGCCTCTTGGCATTATTCTATTCACAGTCAGCATTATCATCTGTCTGGGGCACTGAGTTCTCTCCGAGATCGTCCACGCATGTTTGCAGCCATCAGCACCTTGGAGAGTCTCCCTACGCTTGAAGGAACAAGAAACAAGACGCACAACAGGGACACCTGGGTGGCTCAGTCTGTTAAGTGTCTTCCTTTGGTTCAGGTCACGGTCCCCGCTCAGCAGGGAGCCTGCTTCTCCCTCTCCTCCATGCTAGTGCGCTCTCTTGCTATCTCTGTTGCTGTCTCTCTCTCCCAAATAAATAAATTAAAAAAAGAAAAGATGCACAACAGACGAATGGCCAAAGCAATTCTTTGATGAATTTGACATCATAACCACGAATTTCGGTTACGGTAAGAACAATTTAACTCTGATAGTGACTGAGAGTGGTACCGGTACTGAATTTGCGGTCCATCTATTACCATGCAAGGATGACCAAATGGAAGTCATTGTTAAATTAATTCAGCAAGGAGGCCATTAGACAGAGGTGCCTCTCACCCTTGGCACCTATGTAAGCAAACCCAGATCTAGGCCTGTAACTACCTCAAGGTCACCAAAGTGCGACCTAAAGGCAACTGATTGCCAACAGCCACCAGGAGTTCAAGCTATAGCCAATCAATACCTTCCTTACTTTGCTTCCGACTCTTCTCTATTAGTCTTTCTCCAGCTCCCGTTGACAGAGTGCTTCTAACCACTCTGGTTTGGCGCTGCCCCGCTTGAATCGATTTTGTGCAAACAAATTCCTAAAATTTTAATATACCTCAGTTTATCTTTTCCCAGACTTCATTGTGTCTCCACCCTCCAAATCTATGTTGTCTTTTATATTCCTGTCCCCCCTCATCCAGAGGCTTGGGAGTGAGCCTGGTCTTTCTCTGATCAGCACATTGAACCCTGCTCCATGTCCTGTGGATTCTACCCTCTTGTTGGCTCAATCTAGGACAGTGGCTAGCCTCGAAGGGGGTCTTTGTTAAAAATTCGTGAAAAGGGTCCCTTTGGGGCTTGTGAATTAGGGAAGGACGCCCCCTCTGAGTGGAAGCAGCTTTCAGGTGCATGCTTGCTTTACGCATTGCTCCTTGGTGAGAAGAGGTATCCTCTCTTCCTGGGAGACAGCGGGGTGCATGACTCAGCCCCGGGCACAGGTGACATTTCGCCCCCAGATCGCCCCCTTGTGTGCTGGGAAGATGGCACACACATACTGTGGCCCCACTTGAACCTTTTGCCTCCCCTCCGCTGCCTTCATGTTACTTGCACTGCAGTCTGTGGACTGCTTGCCAGTGTCCCCATCTTTCCCTCCTCGCTCCCTCCCTCGTGTTCTCAGGCTGCCTCCAGAACGCCTTGCACACCGGCTCCAGGCATTCCTCAGGCCTTCAGGACAAATGCAGACTCTCAGCCGGGCACCCAAGGCCCTGGTCCTGCTCATTCCTATTTCCTCTTCTGTCTTGCCCACCGGAAACCCTTCACCCCAGGCACTTCCCTGGCCTTGGCTAGGAAAGCCCTAGCTCCTTTCTCCTCCGGGCAACCCAGTTGCAGCCCTTCAAGACTTGTCTCAGTATTTTCCCTAGAAGTCTCCTCCGACTGGATGGCCTCCCTCTCGGCTCTTATCACACTGTGCTGCAGTCGAGCCTGGCTAACCATCAGGCACTGAGGACATAGTGCCTAGAACCTACGATAGCTATAGGGGCTCATGGAAACATTTGAATTTACTTTAAAATCAGAAGAGAAAAGTAACATTCAAGGCTCAAAGAAGAGGCATTATCTTTCCTCACATCAGAGAAAATAAAGAGGTTTGAAGGGCCCACAAATATCTATTAAATCTTTTTTTTTTTTTTTTTTTTTTTTTTTTTTAACTAGAGGAAGATACACATGGAGCCCAAAGCCCATAGGTCCCATGAAAAGCCCCAGTGTGGTCCTGGTTACTACTGCTTGCCCATCTTGCAGGAGACCCTGTAAGGGAAGATCTGTTCCGAAGGGTGAATGAAACATCCCCACCCCCTCCCGGGCTGTGTTAGGTAATTTTTTCGGTGATGAGAACAAAGCTTCATCTTCACAGGGTGGCTGTAAGCATCAGTTGGTGAGAATGCTTCAGGACTACAGAGCTGGGAGCCATTTCTGGAGCCGAGCTGGATGTGGACAAGGAGAGAAGCACCACGCATTAAAAAAATGGCTCCGGGTGGCTTTGATACCTTTCTTTTGGTAACAAATAAAATGATCCTACTTAAGGGCGCCTGGCTGGCTCATGGGTAGAGCGACTCTTGATGTGGGGGTTTTGAGTTCGAGCCCCACGTTGGGTGTGGAGATTACTTAAAAATAAAATTCTTAAAAAAATATCCTATTTATACTGATAGAGAACCGGCAGGACACATAGCCAGAGTGTTGCACAGTAGCCAGTCCTGGTCATAGGTTACCTTTGTGATTTTTTTTTTTTTTTTTTTTTTAAAACCCAGACTTAGGAGCATTTGAAGGTCAGGTCTGTATCTCATTTTCCCTTTACGGCTGGGGATCGGCACAAGTGAAGGATATAATGAACCAAAGAATCCCCCACCTCATAGCACTGTCTGTCACCACCATCAGGGTCCCAGAGTTCCAAGAGGCTGCAAACAGCGCAGCTGCAACCTGATAGCAAGGCCAGCAGTGCAGAGAACAGAGCTGGAGGGCCGAGACTCAGTTTACCCAAGGAGATATCTCTCGCCGGTCATCGTGGGGACAACATCTCCAAGTGGTGACAGACACCTTCAAGTACTTAAGAAATTTTAGTTCTGGGCCACTCTTCACGAACGCTTAGGGGATAGGCTTCCTGTGTTCCAAGTAATTTATTTCCCATGGCTCCCGAAGGGCGGGAATTGTTTCCTTTTTATAAGCCGTTGGTGCCTGTTAAGTCATAAACAGTATCAGTCTTGTCTGTCTCCTTCACCGCCCAGCGTCTACAAGCGTGTTGGCACACAGTAGGTGCTGGATGGGCGAACGAGTCTGTCCAGGGTGACTTCTTTAACGGATCTCTGGGTACCTCCCCAGGGAAAAGCATAAAACCCACCTCGAGATAATAAGACCCTGCATGGCCTCCGCACCCTGTAATTTAGATCTCTAGGAATCGCCTTTGTTGTGGGCGACCAACCACAGGCAAAGCGAGCACCTGCTCCTCCAGCCGGTCCTCGCGGAAAGACCCGCGCCCCTCGCTGCTTCTCGGGATCCCTTCTCTCCGCTTCCTGGGAGCTGGGGGCCCCGAGGCATCCCGGGGCTTGCGGCCAGGGTGCGCCCCAGCGCTTCGCAGCCGTGGTGGCTCGCGTCCCGAGGTGCTCGACACCCCGCCCGGGGTCAGCGTTCTTTGCCTCCTCGGGCCGGGCGGGGGTTTTGGGGGCGCGTCAAGGGCCTCGTCTGGCACCCCCAGGCCTCCGGGGGCCGGAGCCTGAGTCACCGCGGCGCACGCCCTCTCTTCCCGGCTTTCAGTCTGGGGCCCCCTCCGTCCCGCAGCGTCGGGCCCCGGCGCAGCCGGCTTTCCCCGAGTCTACTGCGCGCCCCCTCTCCCCGGCCTGAGTCTCTGCAGCTGCGGCCCCCGCCCCCGGCCGGCTCTCCGGGAGCTTCGCCGGTCCGCCCCTCCCATGGAGGAGCCCGAACTCCCGGCGTTCCGGGGAGGCTCCCGCGGGAGGGGGCGCGGCCGCCCCCGCGGCTCCACCCTCTCCGCGGGGCCGCGGCCATCTGGGGCCCCTGCCAGTCGCGTCCGTTCTGGGGCCCGCGCCGAGCTCGTGCGGGAGGAGGCAGCCCCGGCGGGGACCCTGGGCCTCCCATCGGGCGGTCTCCGGCCGGCACGAGTGCGGGGAGCCAGGCGCTGAGATGCCCCGAGGGGGCAGTGGCTGCGAGCCGAGCCCGGGTGGAAGCGCGTCGCAGCGGACGCGGGCGCCCCTCGCCACTTCAGTGACCCTTCAGGAGCCGGGACCGGAGCCCCGGAGGCGGCGGTACGGGCCCGCGAGGGCGGCGAGGTCTGTGCTCCCAACGTCCGGGGCGGGCGCCGGCTGCGGAGCCTCGGGCCAGCTCGTCGCCTCCCGCCTCTCCCCTCCAGCCCCCCGCGAGCTGGCAGGAGGAAATAGCGCGCGGCCCCTTTAAATTTACCCAGGAGCCCTTAAAGGAGCCCCAGGGGCCCCAGACAGGAGTCCCCACCCCGGTCCAGCCCGCGCCGCCGAGCGAGCAGCCAGCCGTCCGTGCGGCCAGCCGCCCGGTGCATGCGCCCCGCGCCCCGGGGC